TTCCATGTGACCTGTGTGCTAAACCAGGCCAGGCCCACTGAAGAGAGAAGCCCAAGTCACTGTTGGCCCAAAGGTGGCCAACTCCAAGTTAATGCTCACTCTTGAAACAGAGACAACATTGTCTGGCCTCTGGGGCCACTCAGAGGTTTCCATGGTACTGATCCTTCTCCGCTCTAGCACCCCTGAAAAATCTGAGCTAAGAGGGAACCTGCTCTCCTGTACCAAAGCTCTGGCAAACAGGCTGAAGTGCAGAGCTTCAGCAAACCTTACCACCTGAAAAGGTACAGGGAACAGGTTGATGAATTCTATCTTGGAAGAAGCGTTCTCCCCTTGTGTGAGGAGCAAAAATATCTTTTATTCCTGCCTGTCTCCCCCTCCCACCCTTGATAAGAGATCATGTTAAAAAGACTGAATACTTAACCAAAAAGATACAAACAAGCAAACCCCAAACCTAACCACTTAATTGGGAGCATTTTTACACAGTGCGAAAGAATTTTAATATTGATGAATAGTGTCAATTCATCAACTAAATATTACAAGCTTGCTTCTAAGTTATGTACCTTGAATATTATCCCCGTCTGTAGCAAGCAATGAATAATCTTTCAAGTAATATTAATGCATCAGTGTTAATGCCCTTGTGTTATTTCTGCATTTGCCTACCTTTTTGTTGATTTAAATAAAATTGATAGTAGGTATAATGCACAGCCTTAAGACTTATGGTTAGGAAAAACTGGACTGGTAGAATGAAAGATTTCACCGAACAGACTTTTCGTCTATAAAGCAAGAGGGACTTCTGTTTAAGCTAGGTAAGAGTTCTGGTGCCATTAGCTAGGGACTATTAAAAGACACATTCAGCCGTAACTGCTTTAATGATGTTTTCAGATTGATAATTCTAATATAATTAATATTCCTTGCCAAAAGGAAAGGTAAGTACTCAGTGAAAATTTGAGAACCAATCTAGGAGAAAAGCTTCATTTGTTTTTATAGTCCTTTGTCATAATGTTCTTTGTATGATAAACCTCAGTCTGACTGAAGTTACTGGCACTATACTAGAGGAAGCCATGAAAGCCCCTATCAACAATGGCTTGTTTCTAATCCCTTGCTGATATTTATTGTTTGCATAAAGGGCCTTTCATCATAAGGTCTGCATGCAATGCATAAATACAAGCACGGGTCCTTCCCACAGGAGAGGGTCCAAAGTTTAGTGGCGTGCATTCAAAAGGATTCTCTTGATGGGAGTTCTAGGTCAAAACTTCTGGAGACCACAAGTTGCCCAGCCCTGATTAGGACAATAAGGAAATTAGTCATTACTGGGCTAAGGAGAAAAATGAACTGCCCGTGGTGTAGCGCAGCTTCCTAAATTCATGCATAGAATGCTGGCCTTAAACTACGCCCTGTGCCCAGCCCAGTCCAGAGAAGAGTTGGATATACTTGGTAAGCAGGGTGGCTGTGATATGTGTTGATTCAAATGCTAACAAAGACAGAAACTCCCAGGGAAACAATCAACCCACTGATAATGGATTATACAATTTTAATGCCCAAACTCCAGAACTTCTTTCATATCACACCCATTGCACACATAAATTGTCCTAGTAAAATTAAATTTTTCATTGAGCAATTGCTCATTTAAGGTTGTGCAGGATTAGACTGGCTCTTTCTTCAGCAAATGTTTTTTCCGTAACACTTACAAATTCAAGGCCTGGATCCTGCTAGGACCCAGGTGGGGGTTTAATTATATACTAATCTTCCTAGTGCAGAGAAGGAAACCGATCTGAGTATTAAATATGTTTGCATGGAATGTTCATAAGGTGCTTTTCTGTTCAGTGGCAGCCAGTTTATAAAGCATGAAAACTGATGTAGCACAACAAGCTTGCTCTTCAACATGACACCCATCATCTGATGCCCTGCTGGAAATAGGTTATTAAATGCTGGTAAAATCAGTGTACATTTTGCAAGTGCAGATGCATATTCTTGGATGTTGCTAGAAAATATGCAGTTGCCTCACGATAAGCAAAATGTCTTAATGGACATTTTGTAGAGTTCCAATAGAGTTCCAATAATGGAACGCTATTGGCCCAAGTTTCTTCCTGTGTGTGGTTGTGTGGTTTTGTCTGCAGCAGCAGCCTCCTATACTGAGGGAAACATCATCTCCTGAGTTTTGACTGTTTAATTTAACCATGTCTCACTTTCAGGTTAAAAAAATCAGGATGTCATACATGGCAGGCACCAAATTTCAGCTTGCTAAATAATATGGAAGTACCGTCACTATCTGCGGGTATAGCATTGTTCAGTGACATGGCTGTTTGAGAGTTCCTGGATGAAAGATGACTCCGATTTCTTTTAAAAATCTATCTTACATCACTCCAGTTTTGGAAGGAGAAGTGCTCCCTTTTAAACTTCCAGCCCTCCACCATAATCAGAGTGTTTTGAACTACATACAATCAAAGTGTTAGATTTCTGCAAGAATGAATGTATCCTAATTATTTTGATACAATATCAGACATATTTAATTGTGCTAACAGATTTTTACATATTTTACTATGGCAATCCTAAATTAATAGCCACAATTCACTTCCTTGCTTAATGGTCCTCTGGAACTGGCATGATCAGATCAAAGCTGTAGAAACTGGCCAACAGAATAATCAAACACATTCAGTATTTGAAGAACCAGTGTTATCCCCTGTATTATTCAGACTAAACTTTCAAACTAAGGAAAAGATGGTTAATTCCGGCAAACAATTGTATCTTGATACTTTTCTGTTTTAGAAATGCAGTGGGTAGAAAAGAAACTCAGTTTTGTTTATAGTTGAGCTAGGAGAGTTTTTCTTTAACACCACATACAAAACGAAATCTTGAAGGCAAATCTGTGGCAGGCAGAATGTATAGAACAAAATATAGGAACTGTAGCATTAACTGAAGCTCTTTGAATTACTTTTTGGGATTAATTCGCTACAATACTGCTTGTGTGCTTTTTCGTATTACTCTACAGCAACAAGGGTGAGTTTTATTTTTGTTTTGAAAGCTCTGCATGTGTGCCAGCCGAAGCAGGGAAGATAATTTCCTGAGGTGGAAAGTCCTGCAGCCCTCTGCTGACCCAAGCCTGGCCAGATCTCCATTCTCCCTCAGCCGAGACATATGAAGGCAAATTCCGACTTCCCCCAAATCCATTCGGATGGAAAGTTTAGTTAGTATTATCTCATCCATCTCCAGGCTCACACTGGTGCTTTGGCATGTCTGATAAGTTAATAGTGAGTCCTGTTTATACAGCGTCTCGTCTCCAGCACCTGCACAACACGCTGTGGCTCAGGATCGCTCCCGAGTCTTTCAGAAGGGGATCCGGGCAGCTCTCAAGCGCAGCATTTCCGCCCAGTGCGTGACTCTGATGGGAAGCACCCTAGTTTTTGGAGGGCATTCCTCTGGAGGAGCCACATAAGCAAGAACAAGGGACACGACCACATCCGCAGTATCTGGAGTATTACAAATGCAGGCTGGCGCTGGGGAGGCGCAGAGGGCATTTTTACCAATGATTCCGGGGAATGCTTTTTAGTCTTTATGAGTCACTTATGCATGTTAATGCAATACCAAAAGCGGAAGAGATCCCTTCGCCAGTCGAATGTGCTTCGTAATCTATGCGAGTCTGCCATTCAGTTCATGAAAAAGAGGACACAGAGCTTGCCTTGCAAAGCCACGGGCCCGAAAGAGGAGACGATCGAGAGGCACGGCCGCTCGCTTTGCTGCCTCGCTCGCACAGAGATCCGTGTGCTGCCCCGGGCCCCTCCCGCGCAGCTCCCTCGCTCTGCCATTGTTCTTGCTCGCAGCGCTGTCTGGATGCCAGCCAGACTCCGAGCCCTTCCTGGTATCCAGGGCGGTGTTTGCACAGAGCGGGATGGCTGCCTGCACAGCTCTGACTCTCAGTGCTGTGCGACTCAGGATTATTCCAAATTCAGCATTAGAGCAGGCCTCAAATGCGTGCATTTATCAAATTAAGATCTCCTGCAGCCAAGGACGTGCCCTTGACTGCAGGTTTGTTAAATCTGAGATAACCGCACGCTCACCCCTCTTGTTCTCTGCAACCGAAGGGGCGGGTGAGGAGCTAACTGCTCTCCTGGTTCTGTGGAGCATTCACTCAAGAGAAGACCTTGTCGTGCACACGCACGCACTGCTGTTCCTGTTCCTACAACTACCATGGTGGATTTCAGTCAGGAACGGGGAAAACAGCGTCATCTCCAAGCCATTCCGTAGATTTCGATTGCGAAGGGGGCTGCGGACGCGCGCGTTGCTAAGCGCTTGCTCTGGGTCCTTGCTGTGCCTCGTAGTAAATTATCTGAACGTCGGAGACGCTCACCCTTCCCCTCGAAAAGAAGTGTTTTGTGCCTGTAGCAAATGTACTCAGCACCCAGACTCGTCTAATTGCAGAAGAGTGCAGTGGGCATGGATAACAAGCTCTTGCTAAAGCATCATCAAATGGACTGTGAAACAGACGGTGGGAAAGGCGGGGTGCAACTCTGGCAAGGCTGCTGGTTCTCTCCCAAGGCGAACCAGTCGGCGCACAGCAGTCCTGGAAACACGCTGGAATTGCTCGAGTTCCTTGCCCGAGGAAGAGAGGCAGGGTATTAATAGGATGCAATAATAAATCTTCCTCACTAGGGGTCGCCTAAAGATATAAACATCATACCACCACCCCGGCAGTAGAGGGCGCTGTTATACGTTATAGTCATTCTATCTACAGGGGGCGCTGAGTTGTTTCCGTCTGACCGCCCTGCCAGGGACGCTTTAATAAAGAGGATATTCGTGATTGGTGCGCGGTTTTATTGCAATGTTAACGACGGGTTGAGACATCTGCTGTGATTGGTGGATATTGCTGCCTTAGCAATGCAGGCCCGAACGTGGAGCGGGGGTTTCCTCTCTCCCCATGGATTTTGCCCCCTCCCCCTAAGCCTTCAGGCTTCGTGCAGTAGTTGGTGTGAGCTTCCTAAGGATTTTTCCGGCGTCATCGTTTTAGACGAGCGTGACGATGGACCAATCAGCTCGCGGCTCTGGCGGCTGTTGCTAGGCAGATTATGGTAATGAGCCATGGGCGGACACCCCCCCTCTCTGCAGCTACCATTGTGAGGTGAGGACAGGTGGGCGGGTTTGGTCTGCGGTGCGGCCCTGAGAACCGGCCTGGACACGACACCTTCATTGAACCCCCTCAGGTAAAGCGATGGGCCGGTCCGGGAAGGGAATTTAGCTCAGGATTTTCGCAAGGCCCCATCAAGGGTTTTGGGGTTGTTGTTTTAGTCGCACCCAAGATGGCGCCGGGGCCGGGACAAACCGTTCGCTCCTGCGGGTGGGGGAAGAGGTATAGGGTACTGCCATTTCCCCCTCCCTATTGGAGAGGTACGGTCCGCTTCCCCCTCCCCGCCCTGATCGGGATACCCCATCCGCCCCGGACAGGGGGAGAAAGGGCTGCCCCCTTCTGGGCCTCCCCTCTTCCCCGCTTGGTATAGTCCGGGCACCGGCACCTCACTGGAGCGAGGGGGTGTCGAAGCCATTTTTATCCCCCCCTTTACTAACATTCAGGATCTTTCACCCCACCTTCCCTCCGTGGTTGGATTATCTTCATTTTCGTCGGTTCTTTCAGGCCAACCGCCCCTTTTAACTGCTTTGTAAGGTGCAATCCCGCTTCTTCTCCCCCCCTCCCATCGCCCAGAGTGGTTGGGACGGCCTGGGATGACCGTTGGGTGCGAGCTGCCGGGGCTGTTAACGCCCTCGCACTGGAGGGAGTCAGAGGCTCGGTGGCGTTGGGGTTCTGTGCTGTGATTGGCTGGAAGCGTCCGCGCGCCCCTTTCTCACTTTAATCGGCTCGGGCAGCGGGAGGGAGCGGCCGCCTCCGGCGCTTTCTCGCTCCGTTCCTCTTTCCGAGGGAGCGCACACTTCTTCCTCCTGAGTGACTATTTTATTTTAAGGCCCCTCTGTGAGGCCGGTAGACACATACTCGTGGGATGTATTTGTGTATGTATGCAGCACTGTGTTGGATGTGTGGGAATAAAATAATAAATCCTCTAAAACTTTACATATTATTTGATAAGGTAGATGCGGAGGACCCTTTACATCATATATTTCTAGCCTGAGTTAGTAGCTGGACTATGGTAACGTACACGTGCATCAGCGACCTTTAATAAGGTGACATTCTATGAACGTTTAGGCTTAAGAAAGGCCTGCAACTCCCAGCATTCCCTGGTGCACATTGCTGGGGCATGCTGGGAATTGAAGACTCTCCTTTCTAAACAAAATGGTTGGCACCCAAAGGGTTATGTGCACTTAAAAGACTATGTAAAGAAGTACTAGATTAGATTAGATGTTAAATCGTTAGATTAAAAAAACGGATCTATAATTCTCAGCAATGCCTTGCCAGCATGAATGGCTGGGGAAAGCCTTGAGTTGTAGGACTTTTTCCTAAGCAAGCATGGCATTGCATAGTAATTCTAGTATAAGCTTTCAGCTTTACATACATGGTAAAATTTGATACAAATACTTGACCCCAGCAATCGACCATATCTTTCTTTAGTTATTAACATTATCTTGACTTGGTTTTATACATGGGCAAGCAACGGAATTTCACTTTTAGTCCGCTTCTGTCTGCCCCTTTTTGCCTCCTGTTTAAAGTTTACATCCAGTCTTTTGATCCATATGTATTTCTGAGATAGCTTGCCTCAAATATTTAAATAGTATTAATTTGGCCTCTTCAAAAAGATACTAGTATCTTTTTTCTGACACATGCACATTGTATTATTCTGTAAAAAAAAAAAATCCCTTTTAAAAAACAAGCAGCCCTTAAATAAACAAGGAAGAGTTAAACAGGTGACTGATGTCTCTTTTGCTTTACCATAACATAACAATTGATGTGGCTTTTGAAAAATGAAAACAGACACTGCTTACCAATGATACCCATATTCCTCAACCATTATACAATGCATTAGCAATTATAGCAGCATTTGATAAGGTTACCAAATGTTCATTTATTTTAGAACATTTGTATCATATCTTTCCAATAATACAGGTCTTTAAAGCAGTTTGCTATAATGAGAGAGATTATTACCTGAAGTAATCTCAGTTCTCTGAATGCTAATTCTAATATAGATGAAACTGCAAATGAGAGATGTATCAGCAAACTTTAGGGAATCCTAAGATTTGCAGAAATACAAGCATCTGTGGGGATGGGGGAGAAATGGAACTCCCAAGCAGCCCACTGAGAACTGACTGTGCTGATGGGTAAGTGAGTGGTGGAAATGGAAAACCAGATGCAAGGGGAAACAAATATGGAGTGTTGTGTAGGAGGACATGGTGGCCAGCTGCCAGGAATGTTGAACATAATCATTCCGCACGACTACATTTTGTTGCAGTTCTCATCTGGAAAATAACAAAACCCCAAAAAGGTACTTCCAGTGTCACCTGACATTGGCAGACGGGGTATGGTAAAAAAGTTTCCAGTATCAATTTTGCCAAATATATTACCAGAATGTGCTGAAGTAAGATACAAATATCAGAGCTTGCTTCCTCCTCACCTCTTCCACTCCCTCATAGTCTGATCATCATCGTGGACTCCTTCAAGATGATAGAGAAGGAAAAGATGGCACGGTTAAGCTAATGGTGTTCTAGGGAGTTTCATATTGCTTGAGGAGATGCCCCTCCCCTCTTTTTCTCCAATTACCATTGAATCTTTGAGGATTCTTAAGGCTTTCTGCAAGAGAGCAACATCCCAAGTCCCAATTGCAAAGGAGATGTGTTTGTGAGTACATGAAGTCAGAGGATGAGCAAAGACCAGATAGCTGCACGTAGCCTAGGTAGCTAACCATCCCATCTTTGTAGATCTGTGTCTTCATATGTTGAAGAATTCACTGTGTGGATGTGCAGAAAACGTGTGCAATGTGGTAAGGTCCTGTGGGTCAATTTATTCAGCCAAGTTTGTGTACCATGGGAACAATCATGAGCATGATATCTTCTCAGGACCATTTCACATGTAATCTTTCTTTTGGTATTCAAGACTTGAGTGGACATTCAGATGATCCAAGGTATGTTTCTTCCCAAGCATGGAATTCCTGCCAAAGCAAGTTAAATTGCAACATGACTATTTGCTTCACCATGAACACATCAACCTCTTTCTCATGAACACATCAACCTCCTTCTCAAGCTACATCTTAACAGCATGTAAACAAGCTTTAGGGCTTGCACCATCTCTGGTGGGACAACCAAGAGACTGGAAACTTGCACGTGTGTTTCCAGCTAAATGCACAAGTGCCATGCAGTGTTCCTGATAATGTACCAGACTAAAAATGATTTTTGTCCTTCTTTTCACATATTATGAAATATATGCTGATTTTCCCACAATGGCTCAACTGTTGGACAAATACTTTTTGTAAAGGAACCCCTGCATATAACTGCAACATGTGAATTGGACCATGATCTTGAACAGGAGAGATACTAACATGACTTAAATCCAAAATCCTGTCATCATTGCTTTGTGATCACCTACTTACCTTTTACAGGCAGGAGAATACAAAGTACTAGTGTGTAAATTGGCAGAAAAAGCTTCATTAACCTTATGTTTTGTGTTCTTATTTATATTTATCCATTTTCTTTTAATTAACCTCTTAGTATTGAACAGGTTGATTCCTTTGACCACATGATCTCAGCATCTGCAGTGTAGGCTTTCCATGATAACATCTGCCCCCCAGCAGCTATCTGGTCACCCTTGCCCTGCATAAACTGGGGCATTCAAGTCAACAGGATAGCAGGATAGCATTGATAAAACAAGCAATTTCATTCACAACCAAAACAAAGAGCAATGATTCATTATCAGTTTGTTAGCACTTGTGCCTTTCAAGGATTCTGTACTACAATATTCATATAAACCTGTTAACCTCCCCTTATGAGGTTACCTAAAGGAACACCTCCTATATGTTCCTACCTGGACCCTAAGATTGTTATCTGTGGTCCTCCTCCGTGAGCCCTCTCTGAAGGAAATTAGGAGGGTGGCTATGAGGCGAAAGGCCTTTTTAGTGGTGGCATCCTGATTTGGAATCCCCATAGAGGTTTGCCTGGTGCCCTTTCTGTACTCTGTTCTGCACCTGGGAAAAACCTTTTTATTTGCCCAATATTTTAATAGTTAAAAATAATTTTTAAAAATACTTATCATTTTATCTATTTGATATTTATTATATTTCATTGCTACTATATCCCTGGATTAATTTAATTTGTGGCTATTAGTCCTTTTTTGCTATTTTTTGCTATTTTTTGCTATTTTATTGACATTTCTATGTTTGAGCTAACATTATGGTTTTTATTGTATATATTGTCACGACTTTGTAAACTGCCCTGAGAGCCACTTTGCATAATGGACAGTGTAGAAATAAATAAATAAACAAATGCAGCTTTATCCGAGGCGAACCATTCTCAGTTCTCTTGTGACCAAAACTTTTCTAATTATACTGAGCTTGTATTATTATACTGAACTCTTGATTCCTAATTCCAGTTATAAAGGGCTAGTATCAAAGGAATGGAGGGGTGAAGTAATGAACTTTATCTTCGGCCATAGATCATCATGGCCAGTGGTAGCTTTTTATTTAGTATGTGAAGTTGTATGTACATCAGTCTAGTGCTTTCTGTATCTCTGTCACTGTTCAGATTTGTGTTGGGCTACACTAATAACTGGAATATTTTGACTGCAGTGCTTTTCTATTCAGATATTTTCCGGTATTCTGCAGTCAGTGATCTTGCCTCAATCATCTCAGTGTGCCTCGAAGTACATTATTATTTAAAACTATTTTGATCTTTTTTCACACAGCTATTAATTTTTGTTCAAGTGAATTCCTAAAGTGGGAGATTACCTATGCTATTTTGTAATATCAAGCACCTCCTTATTATGCTAGGTTCAAGTTTCTTAATGGAAAGTGAAATTACATTGATGTTGGCATCTCAGTTTCAATTACTAGCTGCCACTAAGGCCTAACCCGTGTATGTTGGCTATACTGCGTTCTTTGTCATTTTACTTTTGGCTATTTTCTCTAGTTTATGGAAATTAAGCTATTATCAGATCAGCTTTCTTTGGGGGTAGATTGATTGCTTTAAATAGAATTGTCTTGATAGGGGGAAATTGACCCATAAATTGCCACCATTGAAACAATGCAACATAGACGTGACAGATTTGCCTTGT